AGCGAGAGCGCGCGTGTGCCGCTGCGCGCGCGCCTCATGCAACATGCGTGCATACGGTATTACGACACACGGGCACGAGGGAACACACATATGTGTGCATCGGAGAGCTGTCACATACATTAGACCCTCCATTACAAATGCATGTTGATCATTAAAATGTCTTCAAACGTGCCCCAGACAAAGATGGCCTAAAATCAAGAATGTAAGCAAGTATTAAAGGTTCTGGGTAATAGAATTGGTTTTGACAGTGCCACCTATCTTACTGGCCGATGGAAGGGGGGGATTTGGAGCAACGAACGGGCCAGGGCAGGGCCCTTAAAATTGTCCTAATCTTCCCCTATTACAGTGTCTCTGTTGATCAACTTATATAGTACATTTGGGCAACTATCCCCTTAATTGGTAGCTTGCCTTCCAACTTGATCTCATGAGATAACATAACTATTTTACAATAATTATTTTGTATGAATTTGTAAAATGTGATTTGTATTGAAACATTTTTTTTAACTTCAACATAAAGGTCCATCCCTAACCATCAGTGAGGCATAAGCAGATCGTATAGGCCCTACATAGCCTATTTGAACAAATTAGCCGATTCGCCAAACCATAAAATGGTTACGAATTTCCATGAATGTGTTGGTACTAGTATACCTTCACACCAAAAAATGTGATGTTTAGAATGAAAAAAATTACTTGGTTCATGACAACATAAACCTATAAAATCCTGTGAATAACAGAAATGTTCGATTCAAATGCAATGCATTGTTTGTTGCTGCTTTTTATTTACCTGGTTAACATAATTAAAACCTGTATGGTGTTATTAAAACCACAGTAAAACCACTACTCCACCTTTTACTCTGATTATAAGAGTTTTTTTATTTATTTATTTTTTATTAAATAGCATCTATCCTTCACTTTTAGATTTCTGATACGCCTACTGCAATTGAGTTTCCTGGGCTGTCTGCTAGCAGCAGGAGTGTGACAGGCCTGCTTGAAAAAAAAAGTTACCTTACTGCTAATAAAGACATCATTTTTAATGAGAGGAACGAGCAGTACTTCTAGCACTGAGGCAATCCTAAAGCAGTGGTGGATGTGTGATGCATAAGTGGAGAGTGTCTGAGCTCCCAGTGTTTCTTTACAGAACATTTTCTGAATTGCTTGCATACACTATCCATGCATTAATATAGGCCATTATTTTACACTATACTGTTCAAAAGTTTTGGAACATTTTCTCCTATGCATTTTACAAATGAATCTGATTCCCTGTTCAGTTGGTTTTAAATGGTTATAGAAATTGACTGTGTGCCTTGGCCCCACTATTAGCCTACTGATCATTGAAAATACCAGATGGGTTCATTTAAGATGTCTACGTACACGTTGCAAATTTCCTTGTAACCTACATGTTAACTTGTTGTTGTTGGTTTTTTTTTTGTTTTGTTTGTTTGTTTGTTTTTTCATCTAAAACTGTGCATGTCTCTGAAAATCCTGTAGTAGCCCTACATTAAGTTTTATTGTCCTAAATGTTATTTTATGATGTTCAAGACATTTTACTACCAAGGTTGTTGATAGTGGAGATTCCCTGCATGCATTTCACCTCAAAACAATGATGTCACAACAAGACTCGTTAATTGTTGGAGTCATTGAAGGGATTGAGATCACGAGTGTGAATTGGTGTGAAATTGCTGCAGTAAGGATGAAAGGCAAGTAGTCAGCAAATGGTGTCACAAGCTTCAAAGATGGCTATTCCACTTTTCACAAATGGTCTCTTTCCTCTCACAAATCACCTTGTTTCTCCAAAACTTTGACTTGAATATCCCTGGCCTGCATGTGTGAACCTCATATTTTAGTCTTGTCCAGAGGTTTCCCATCCCCTCTGTGCTGTGACAGTTATGACGTTCCTCATTACTGTACACTCTTCTTTCCCCTCAGGGTCTTGTACTTTAGGTACTGCAGGTCCTTCTCTGCTAAGTCCTGGGAGTTCTGGATGTGACATTCCACGTTGTCAATGGTGACAGGAGTGTGGCCAAATGTAGGTGTTTAGGATACAGTCTGAGTTGAGCTCCCTCTTTATTTTTGGGAGCCTGTATGATCATTAGAAAGATTCCCTAGAAAAAGAAGTGGAAGTTTCAGTCAGTAGATTTTTTGGGTAGCACTTCAGTAAAAGTATGGGATGCAAATGACCTAAAGACCTCCTGAATTATATATTATGAGCTATGTGTATTCGCTGAGGGGGAAGAGTGAGCCCAGGGGCCCTTGTGAAATTGTGACGTGGCTCCATGTGGGTCACAGGAATTATAGACCCAGTTTCAAGTCAGCTCATGTGTGAATGTACATTCATTGTGGAATGTTTTTTAGGCAACTTCTTGAGCACATGATATTGACATTCCTGCCTGAGAGTGTAAAGAGAGAAAAGTCACGCTTCCATATAGTTTCCCTTTTGCATGTGGAGAGGAGAGATAGTTAAAAAAAATCACATTTATCACTTAAACACATGTCTTCTGAACTGGATATAAAATTTCCCCTCATAAAACCTGGATAGCTCTGTATATACATATTCAGTTGTGGACTGATTTTGTTAAATGGTGGTCAAGTAGTATACCTGTCAAAAATATAGTTGTCAAGCTTTGTAGTTGTCTAAACAAGTCAAATACGTGATCCAAATTTAATACAAGACAAACACATCTGTCCAAATAAAAATTTAAATAAAGTATTTTTGTGATCACAGCATTGTTGTATTCTGTCATTATATAAATGTAAGTATTACTAGGTCTTAAAGCACATTTCCAGATCTCGAGTTGTGGTTTGGCCAATTGGATTGCAATAGATACATGTGGTTGTACCATTTGTTATTTCACACAGTTTTCTGTTCTGCCTAAGACAAATTAATACATTTTATGGGTGAACAGAAAAAGTTAAATGTAAAACTTTGCTGTACCACTAATATTAAAATGGCTGTGGACTAAAACACATTTCTTAAAAAAATAAAACTTAAATGAAAATTGATTAATTACACACACACACACACCACAACACACACACACACACACACACACACACACACACACACACACACACACACACACACACACACACCACACACACACAATATATATATATATATATATATATATATATATATATATATGAAGAGTTCAGATGCAAAAGCCTCTAAATGCCATTTGGAATTTTCCTCTTTAATGATGATTTTTACCAAAACTTGTATATTTAAGTTCAGTAATTTCGTAATTTCACTTAAATAGCAATGATAATTACCTATTAATTGTTATTTAAGTGAAATTACTGAACTTAAATAT